CATTGTCGGCATCAAATCAATAGGCAAACACCAGAATTCAGTTACGTCTTCAATATTCAGGTGTATGAGTTGTGCTTCTGCTTCATAAATTTTGAAAGTCAAGTAATATTCGAAGAATCATTTCCGAATTATCATTCTTCTAGATCACAGATGACCAAAAAAGAGTTGATTTTGTGTACTGCATAATATTACGGATTGATAACTTCGATTAGTCTATTCTCATAAACATCAGGATTCATTAGTAGCAACAAGTGAGTAATATTCAATCTATCATGATCGCATAATGTAGAAACCATTCTAGTCTATAACATATGCTGAGTAAAAGTACCACAGAATTTGTACACTCATCTTTGTGATCACCTCATTTCACACAGATTGTGCACATAGAACATAGAACTATCCACTAACTGGAAACTGTGAAACCAACAACCATTAGTCAATAAATCATTATGTCACATTATATCCATGCTCAGTGGTTCATGACCTACGGTAAGCACTATGAAGTTTAAAGGTTTCAAATCGAACAATCATGTCAACAACATTGGATATTTCAGTGTTATCTTATATTTATAATCGAAATGAGCTACTTATTGCATAAAATTAACATAGATTTTATTTACGAGATACGTGATTCAATCAAATTTCTACATTTTCACTGATAATACAACGTGATGAGGTGCGACTTATTCAGTACGTGCTCCACACATTGACCTTGTAGTTCACCCTAATTAATCATATAAGGTTCTTAAATGTTCTATTTGATTAACCCAGAATACGATGTACATCAAACGTTACTCTGACGTGTAGAACCCCACGTTCTGAGTGGATGGGAACGCTTCGGCTCCTTGACGGCCTCTGGTGTTGTCGTGGGGCTTATCGAAAGCCGTCCCAACAAATATATTTATGGACATATCATGTTTCACAACTGCATACATATTGAGATTATTTGTGCTTCTTTCTAATTCACTTCAGTTGACATTATTCAATTAGCCTCCTTCAAACAAGCATAAACAACAAACTGTGAATAGCGATAGAGAAGAATGTATACAATTGAAGTCATATGGTGATAGCCAACACCACAATCACAATCACAGATAATTACGCATTTTCGAATCTAAATGTTGTTTGACGGTTGTCAGAGCATTTCGTCGAAATTGAGATATGATGAATTCGTAGGTCTTAATTAATTATAGCAAAACGTATTTTCACGTGTACAAAATGCGCCAATCGAGTTACATGTTGATCTTCAGTCCATTACAATACTTGACTACGTACTGATTGGATTACGGATTGAAAATGAGCAGAAACAATCGTCTTTCAAGAGAATCATCCACACATAACTTTGACATTTTGAAAATAAGTGTGTTTGGTTGGTTATGAGTTTAGGTATCCTCAAAATAATAAATCGATGGAATGTGATTAGCAGTGGTATCCTAGACTGACCACATTCCTGTCAAAATATCAACAACAGCCTAATCCAGTCCATCTCAAAGCGAATTGAAATAATGAATGTATTCTGCCGACTGATGACAAAATAAATTTCATTACTTTGCCGTTATTAGCCTACATAACAACACGATGATACAATTAATGAACAACGTGGACGACTATTGATATGAATCAATGAAATATCCATTATATTATGCAATCTTCAATCAAAGATGTTACTTTTCTAGTACAAAGCCATCGGTAACCTGAAATTACCACTTCATTCGATGTATACGTGTGTACAACTTTGCTGGATTTCCATACCAAATCAATTATCAGATTGTATGCGATATAGTTAATAATCAATATGTTCTATTCTTTCTGAAGGAGATCTGTCACATTATTGTACTCTTATTTATGATAAGTTACACGTTTCGGTTTAGTGGCAATTCCAAATAATTTGATCTGCGACAAGGAAAACATTACGATCATATGCTTTAACTGAAACAAATAATAAAACATATAGTCGATATATTTACAACAATTCACGTCTACTGAAGATAAACTAAAACTCAGTATTTCTCATGTGGTTCGTGTATATCATCAACTATCGTCAAACTATCGTCAATCGGAATCTTTTTGATATTCATACTGACATCACATCTGTTTGTTGATTGTTAACTGGATAATTCAGACGAGTCTGCCACGTGGTCAAATATCGTGGTTTATTATCTAGCTACCATTCTAATGTCAATTTCTATTTTGAGGAAAATTTCCTCAAGTACGGGAAAGTCGACTGAAACGCCGCAAATCTTCACTAACCTGTGGTTTTTCCGTACAACCCTTCATGTTTCCACAGATTATAAGGAGAATCTCAGAATCCTACAAATTTCCTCACATTCGAGAGATTCAGACATGTTTAGTGCCAATTACAAAATGATTGAAACGGTATGTGATATACGGAAACTCTTCATCGAAATGTTTTATTACAACAACATATATATGCAGTGATGATTGAAAATGACAATATAGTAATGGGGGATATTTATTTATGTGCGATAGCAATCAAAGCAATTCGGTTCATCAATCAAATATATGTGTGTCTGTATGGATGTAACCATTCTGAAAACAGTCATAACATGAATCAATTCTTCACAACAATTGTCAATCCATCTCCAGTTCTTAAGAGAGAAATTCGAACAGAGTTATCTCTAGCTATCAATGCATTCATTTCTCTTATACCGACAGTTTCAGAGCTGTTATTATCCGCGTCGAGCACACGCTGCCTCCATAGAACCTGGGAAAGAGATGGTAATAAAAAGGGTATAAAAGACAATCATTACATGTGATTTAATGGCACTATAAGCATGTATCGTATTCATACACCAAAAAGTCTATTTTCAGTCAAATTAAGAATAACCTTCATCGGACAATAGAAGGTTCATTGATTTGGTAATCGGATTCATCCAATATGTCAAACCAATGTACATAGCCCTTGTTCTCCAAAGTCCTTTCAAACCAGAGATGTAGGTTTTTAGGATAGACAACCATAAACATGAAATCAAAAACTTGATTTTCAAGCTCTGAAGAGTTTTGATTGCAGTATGTAGTTTTAAATATGAAGTCAAAATCTCTCAGAAGGCTGATTTCCAACATATGAACTAAGAGATTGGGGAGAGCTACGGATAAGCATAGTGTATCTGAGTCCAGTAGAATTGTGCAGACAATGTGGTTAGACTACTTACTTACTTACTTACTTACGCCTGTCACTCCTTGTGAAGGAGCATAGGCCGCTCACCAGCATTCTCCATCCAACCCTGTCCTGGGCAATCCTTTCCAGCTCCTTCCAGTTCCTATTGATCTTTTTCATATCTGCTTCTATTATCCGACGTAATGTGTTCTTTGGCCTTCCTCTTTTCCGCTTCCTTTTAGGATTCCAAGTTACGGCTTGTCTCGTGATGCAGTTTGATGATTTGCGTAATGTATGTCCTATCCATTTCCATCGTCTTTTCCTAATTTCTTCTTCAACTGGAAGCTGATTTGTTCTCTCCCAGAGAAGGCTGCTGCTGATGGTATCCGGGCAATGGATGTTGAGTATCTTGCGTAGACAACTAATTATAAATACTTGAACCTTCTTGATGATGGTTATAGTAGTTCTCCAAGTTTCAGCTCTGTATAGTAGAACTGTCTCAACGTTCGTACTGAAGATTCCGACTTTCATGGTGGTTGAAAGACAGTTGTTTTGAGTTCCATATGTTCTTCAATTGTAGGAATTCTGTCCTTGCTTTGTCAATCCTCGCTTTTACGTCTACATCTGATCCTCCTTGTCCATCTATGATGCTTCCCAGATATGTGAAGGATTCCACATCTTCCAGAGTTTCGCCATCACGTGTGATTGGATTGCTGTTCTGCGTGTTGAATTTGAGGATCTTGGTTTTCCCTTTGTGTATGCTGAGGCCTACTGATGCAGAGACTGCTGCTACACTGGCTGTCTTTATCTGCATCTGTTCGTGTGTATGCGATAGGAGGGCTAGGTCATCTGCGAAGTCCAAATCGTCTAATTGATTCTGAGCTGTCCATTGTATGCCGTGTTTTCCTTCCGGTGTCGAGGTCTTCATAATCCAGTCGAACACCAGAAGAAAAAGGAAGGGAGAGAGTGAACAGCCTTGTCTGACTCCGGTCCTTACTTGGAATGCATCTGTCAGCTGTCCTCCATGCACGACCTTGCACTGTAGTCTGTCGTATGAGTTCCCGATAATATTGACAATCTTCTAAGGAACTCCATAGAGTCGAAGAAGTCTTCATAATGCTCTCCTATCCACAATTTCAATTTGGTCTGTGCACGACTGATCCGTACGGAATCCAGCTTGTTGATCTCGAAGTTGGATGTCTACCGCATCTTGAAGACCTTCCCTGGTGTGGACAGTAGTGTAATGCCTCTGTAGTTTTCACATTTGCTCAGATCTCTTTTCTTTGGAATTTTGACGAAGTGCCATTCTTTCCAGTCCATCGGCACTTGTTCCTCCTCCCAAATCTTTTTGGATAGAAGGTGAAGCATGTTTGTAGTTACTTCGCAGTCTGACTTCAGACTGTGGTTAGAATCTATAAGATAATCAATATTCTACGTCAGATTATTATCAACAGTAAAACTGTTATCATTCAATTAACAAAGATCATTTGAAGGCACCAGTCAGTAATGTTTGCTTAGGATTATTAGAACAGACCAACTTATAATTCCCTCTACGCAATAACTTCCAATTAGTTGATCCAAGATAAATTATTCATACATATATGGGATAAACTGATTCAATTTAGTTTGAAATATAAGGCTATCATTCAGCAGAAGGTGTACAACTACAGTCATTTATTATTATTAACATTATACTTCACACTTCATCGAATATGTGGAATATTTCCTGGAGAATTTATGAAATGTAGAAGCAGTTTTAAGGGCGAGATATTTCCAAACAGAAGGTTCATTAATAGTCATTAAAAGATCAATTCGTCATGAAAGTTGACTTCAAATGTATTGAGATACATAGAACATATACTCGTAAGTAAAACAAACTTACATTATCAATGGCGATGATTCCACGAGGTCGAACTAGTTTTAAACATAATTCGTAATATTTACTATAGTTTTCTTTTTCACCATCGATCAGGGCAAAATCGAATGTTTCACTCTCCCCATTATCAATCAAATTTTCTGTTGGCACAACAGTTCAATCAAAATATATAAAGTTCAGCTACCAAATCAATAAATAGTTTACGACAAAACTGTTATCAAACTGAACGTACTTACATACACCCAACCGTTATCGAATACTAACCGAATAAATGTATTCGTTCAACATCATCAGTAAAATCGTTTTTATTGACTAGAAGAATACCTATATCAGACATTGTACATGTACTATTCACCTACTCACAACATCGCAGTGTTCAAACCAACCTCCGAGCACACATCTAACTTGTCGAGATACATTTATATTTGGTGATGTAATGCTACATATGTAGATAAAATACCACGACAACTGGATGTGAGGGTGAAGGAGAACAAACTGCGCTTAAGGGACATTCAGAAATCCTCAGGTCATATACAAATGCTCACACAAAAATCAGTGGTAGCATTACACTCAATAGAGTGCTAATCCATATCATATACAGACAGGTTTCTACCTCAATACAATAGAAGATGTTGTTCTATTTCGTGGATTGGTTGAACATAGACCTTAACACTGTTGAATGCCGGCTCAGTGGTCTATAAGTTAAGTGTTCGTGCACGAGATTGAAGGTACCGAGTTCGGGTCCTGCGTGCGGAAACGTGGTGCGCACTGCTGTGGATTCTCATACTCAGATGAAATGGTCGTCCAGTGATTATAGGTAGTCCAACATCCATCAACTCATGATCTCCTAAGGAAATTCTCAGTTTTCTAGTGAGAGGCCTTGATCAGTGTGACTGATCCATGTCAGGTAAAGACAAGTATCTACCTCAGTAAGATGGAACGTGGCAGCGCGATTTCGCTGGTAGGTTGAATTTAGACATTAACACTCTAGGATGCCCGCCCAGTGGTCTAGTGATTAAGAGTTCGTGCAAGAGACAATAGGTCCTGGGTTCAAATTCCGCGTGTGGGGTCATGAATGCTCAATGCTGAGTCGTCCTATAGTACGACGAGACCAACGTCTAGTGGCTTCCATGTTCCCAGTGGTGACCTAACATCCATCGATTCATGATCTCAATCAAAATTAAACTCCTTCTCGCACTTCTGATCCACTTACACGCAACAGATACAATTTGTCTTCCTAACATGCATTTCGTCACACAAGTTACACTAATACTTCTTAGTGTCAAGCTTACTTGTAGATTCCGTCAACATCAACCAACATTTCGTTATTTTCAACTATCGTAAACAGAAATGTAGCATGAATTCCCCATATATTATCTTTTTCCTAAATCGATCACATAGTATTGCTGACACCAGAGTACACATCAGTAGCCTGATGACAAAATACTTATCTCCATGGATTTTACATGATTAAGCAGTGAGCGTGTATTCGCGTTTTGTTTTTCTTGATAACATTAAAGCTTATCACATCGTTAAACTTACGTAGTATTTGAACATCTGGACCGTGTCGGAAGTCAATTTTCGATTCTACACCTGCCTTCTTCCATGCTGGCAAACAATAGTTTTTCAAATATTCATCCGTTTTATCCAAGGCAACTACACGTCCATCTAACGGCAATACTTCCGCGATAGACAATGCGCTATATCCAGTATAAACTCCTATATTCATTTTAAAATAAATGGAAACATATCTGTTGATAATGACTGGTCGTCTAACTGATGTACAGTGACTGGTAAAAAAACAGTAGAATTACCACAGTAACATCTTTCAGACTAGTTTAGATCACACTGTAGCTTGACAAAACAGTCGTCAGCTTAACAAATATATTTGAAGCCAATTATTACTGCACAAAACAACCCAAAAAGTAGTGAACGTCAGAAATTCCAGATATAACGTTGAACAATCTGCTGACTATTTGGACCCAATACATCAGTAGATCATGTGTTGGTGCTCGAAATCAAAGGCACCAGCTTCGGATTTCCATGCGAATATTAATTACACCATGCAAATGCATCCAGCTGATGAGTCTCAAATGCAATGAAACCAGTGTTCCAGTCTTCACTTCCAGACCAATATACAAGTCAACTACGAATGTGTTGTTGATATATGGTATCAACACAGTTGTTTCAAGATAATTCGCTCAGTCATTCAACTCTATCTGAATAGACACTGATAACCAGTCAGTAATGGGTGACTGTATGTCTCTCCTCTTCAAAATCCCCTTCTTTCCATTTCTGTCTCTCCATACATAATTTTTACATACACGAGTACCACAACCACTCTGAAATGTAATGCTCACTGGAGAAAGACGAATGATGGAACAGAGCATCCAGTCTCCTTAATCGTCTTCAAATGGTAGACATGATGAACAATGTTCTTCAAATAACAGACGGATGATTTTGACGCTGACTCATTTAATGTTTCCATAAACCATGAGACGAAGTTAGACATAATAACCACATTCTGTTTATAAAATTTCTACTCATATCTACCTATGCAGTCAATTTAAATGATTAGTTAAATACGAGCTAGTACATTACACTTACTCCATGAAAGCTGAGAATTTGTTCGAGAAGCAATGAGGAACATAGAATGGATATATATTTATGCTTGTAAACAAATCCACATAAACCTCGTACTTACCAATAGCAAGTGTCTTTCTAGCATTTATCGCATAACACAAATTTGATAGAAGTTGCATTTCTATGCTGGAGATAAGCATAAATGATAGTGGATGTTTACTGGTCTCCTACAATACATTTAATGATGATAATTGTGGTGATTACTTGTAATAACCACTTTTGTGCTTCAGATAGACGTAGTGAATGATCACATATATACTGATGAAGTTTGTCTGCGCTTTTGGTACAACCATATTCGGTTACTGACTTTAAATTGGTAAGGTCGGTCATTTTCTAAATGCTGTGCTGAAACAAATTGATCGTACATACATCAGTAATTTTCTAAGGTTAGTAATGAATGTTCAGTGTATTGTTGGTTGTTTACAACCAAAACATTTATTGTATTTCTTACTTTGCGTTAGAATAAAGGAATGTAATGCATTCAAATATAAATTGATTAATATTAATTTATCGAATTATTAATAGTGACTTATAGTAAAATTCCTGGCAAGTGTTCTGCCCTACTGCATAAATATACATTGTGATGTTAATATTCACGCTGAAATTGGAACACGGTGTTAATTACCACAAAAATCCACATCTACTGGGTTTCACTACCAGCCATCTTTCAAAAGTTGATCAACCTGTAGCTGAGAACAATATCAAGGCATCTCCTCAATGAGCCTGCACGTCGACAGTAAACAACCAATAAGAAAATACGAAAGCCTTAAAAATACTGATAAATATAATACTCATTCAATAAGCTCGTAGATCCCTTGATTCAGTGGATGACAAGCTGATTATAGAGTGGTGGGTGCTGGATTTCAGTTTCATTGAGAACATCGTTGACATGATGCCCTTAATTTCAGCTCAGTTGTCATAACAAGAACGAAAACCTCCCGTGTAGCTACTTGCAATTTGTGATCTGATAATCCCTTTCGAGCTGCTGCGTTATAGCCAAACACAGGTAAAATGGTAAATAATTCTAGATAATTCAGACTGGTTTGTGGATTGGAGCTACATATTAGACTATGCTGTGCTATTTGTAAACGTTTATAGCTTTTGGTGGCCCGGGATTTGACTCTAAGTAGATCGTTTGAATGTTTGTTTTTGAATGATTGCTATCGAAATATATTTGTCGCCTATCCTCGTATATAATCACTGACTTAAATAGCGTTAGTCAGTAACGGAATTAAATAAGTCAAATAGGAGAATGAATTTCGAATACGTATATTTCCTGCAACCTTTGATCCAGACAAAATACCGAAGAAGTGAAGGGAACATAGCGAAGCAAATGACGCGCAGTGTAGAAAGGCTCGTGAGCCAACTCATTACGTCACTCTTTAATCGATATTTATATTCACACAAAAATAAGTTACAGACGTGTGATCAATAGGATAAGAAGTCTTCACACACATACGCTCATATAAAAACAGTCATGGTTGATAAGCGTGTAATTAACAAGTTCAAAATGTGACTCACGTAGAATGTATCGACTGGCCTGTCCAAAAAATAGAATAAGGTATATGGGCTAAACAAAATAACAGACACTACACATTAACAAATAAGTGGCCAGGTTTCCCACAAAGTACTGTACTGGATTGATAAATTACGCTTCTGATTTGTTTTCACTAACGCGAATAAGCCATGCACTCGATATGGCTGTGAAGGAGGGTTTGGCAATTCGAATAATTAAGTAAATTTACTCGATTGAATAACACGTTGACCTTAATTGAATCAGTCTATGTGTAACCAACGGCAAAAACATAACATCTGTTCAGTAACTTAATTAACGGTAATAAATGTTAACGCTCCATCTTAACGAACTTCCTCTCACATGATACAAACTAGTAAAGAAAGCATAATTTATATTGTTATTTGCTCGACATTTCAGATGCTTTCGTATGAACAACTAATCTACAATGTGTGAAACTGACAATCTAGTGTCAATTGAACAAGATGACAAACTAACATGGAACACCAATCCAAGTGCGAAGGCAATCAATACAGTCATTCAAATTTGATAAACGTTCCTTACACAATATAGACAATTATAATCGTGGACACATTTTAGTCAGTGCATTTCAAGGCAGACTAAAAGTGAACCTTGTAAGGTTAAAAAATATTATGAAAGGGAATACACGAATAAACCAAGTAAACAGGGGGTAATCAGTATGACATATATGAAATAATTGAATTTACTTATTCCTGAGCACTAAATGTGGATACAATTAGCCGTATTTTCATAAAGATGATTCATTTGGAATGAAGTATTCGATGGTGGATTTGTCGTTCTGTAGTGCTCATTTAAATATTAGGACGCAAGTTCAGATATATCTGAGAAAAGCTTCCGAAACAATCATGTTTGATACACTAGTCAGTCTCGACATATTATCTCAAAACAGGTTCTGTCTATATATGGCCAGA